GGGGTTGACGTGACCGTTATTTTGTTTACTTGATTTAAGAAGCAACAAAGTTAAAACATAAGGCATTCTAAACAATGTAAAATAAGGCAATATTGTAGAAACGTTTATTTTTTCTTCTCCTGATTATGACTTGTTAGTCTTCATTTTAGTTACCTCATTACACTGCAAGTTAATACAATAATTCTCATCCTCATTTTACAATATTTCTTTCTGATGATATTGTTTTTTCGATTTTATTCTTCTCATAGTAATCATTTCTTATGACGATAATTTTTGCAGCCCGTACATTGTATACGAAATTCCATTGCAATTGTCATAAGGTATTAAGGGGATTACACAACAAATAATATAAAATGAAAATATAAGATAAAACAAATTTTGAAATAAATCATAAAATTAATTTGGCATGAATAAATTGTTTTTAGTTTAGATATCAATTTAGTTTGTGTTGTATTTGAAATTGAATCTTTATATATCGAAGTTTCGATTGTCAATTATAATAAATATGTGTCTTTTAGTGGTTTTCTGCACATAACTGTTACTTAAAGCACTGCTATGTATTGTTAAAAGCCGCAATTATGCACACGATGAATTTTAGTTTTCTGTCTTTAAATACCATCAAAAACTTTAAATAATAAACGGATTTCATTCCTTCATTTGAAAACAAATTAATTTCTCGCATTTAAACCTAAAATAAACAAATTAATCCTAAACAGTTATCATATCAACAGAAACCAATGATTACAACTAATGAAAATCCATTGTCTGCATACACTGTTTATTTATAGTCAAAAGTCAAGCACGTGTGTTTGACACAGTCATTATTGACACTTCAAAAGTCATCAACTCAGACACTGTGCACGTATCAATTTTCAGTTGTATGAGAACCAAGGCACGTGCAGCTGGAAAAAGCACGTGCGATTAGCGTGGTTCAAAGGTCAATATGATTAGCCACAAGCACATTGGGAAATTTTCCCGGAAGGAAGCGTCGATGTGTCAGATCCGATCTCTACTTCCTAATTGACTCTGCTTTAAAGTAATTAATTATATCAAACAGAAATACAATAAATTGATAATAAATATCCACAAATGAAAGCGTCTGATAAACGTAAAAAAAAATTATTTTCAACAAAATGAACTCCTGCTATTTATTATTAAGAATATTGAGGAAAACTGATGGAAATGCCGATTTTTATGCCTTTTTTACTTACAATATTTATAACTGTCACAGTAGTCATACCATCGTTCATGTGCTGTAAAGCGCTTAAAGTTATTTTGCAAACCATATAGGGCGATATACCAATGTTGTATATTATTATAATTATTACATTACAAAAATGTTTTTTAGCATAAGGGAAATTATCATTACTACTTTTATTAGTACTGGAACTTTATATATTAAACTATAAAAATTAACGACTTAAGAAATTTAAAAAAACAAACAAACATATTCTTATTATTTAAGAATTGAGCTAAACTAATTTGTTAAAAAACCAAATAAATCAACTTAGGTTTTTATTAGATTAAGAAGATATTTTGCAAAAGTAATTGTTCTTTCTTTCGCTAGCATTTTTTATTTCATTTTAAGTACGCTCTGCTAAATCAAAGGTAAAGAATGCACAGATGTAATTACACCAAAAATATTTGATTCAATATATCAACAAATTAATTGTCAAAAGTCTTATTGCTGCCAATATGAGAAGAATTTGTAAATAAACACGAACGTTTGTGAATGGAGTCCTCAGCCATGAATAGCGTACAGGTTCAGAGTGTTGGTACTCACGATAAATGTTTGATGAGGTTAATATACAACTACTCCGGAAATAGGGCACGACATTACCAGTCATCGATCACCGTCACGACAAAAAAGTCAACCTTGGATTAACATTCAATGATTACATTTTGGTGAATGAAATGCTATTTAACTAAATATTGTGAGAAACAACTATGTAACCCCTCGTGCGCCTCGTTTGTAGTGTGATTGTAACCAGGTGTTGCAACTCTCATGCTGATCGCTCCTGCAGTAAGAAAACCAACCTAAAGAGATCGATTTTTTCAATAATACACACTTTAAGTACAAGCTATTGAGGGGTAATTAACACGCGAAAATGCCCAAATAAAATTGATCTGATCATGTTAATTTGTCTCTTTAAATAGCGATTCTGTGATCGCACTGCCGTATCTATAGGCCTGTGCTTTAACAATATTGTGGCAAAGGTGCCTTTCTTCTTTTCTCAATGCTTCAATTATCTTTCTATTTTAATAGAGACGCAAGCGTGAGGCAATCATCAAACAAATAAGACGATCAATAATTTTAAATTTTCAGAAATAAAAACGTAGATTTTCTTTTCTTTGATAAAACATTTTTTTTCGGAATTAATCATATATCTTAAGAAATATTTCACCCTTTTTAAATACTATTTGAAGGTATAAAAAATGTGACAATGTGCTTAAGTTGACTATTACACAATTCATGCCACCTAGCGCCGTGTAACAATTACCAACACAATTGTTTATTTGCATACATGCTGAGATATATATGTACAACTGCAGATATTGAATATTCGTCAATTTATTCTTATTTCTTGAGACATGATTGAAAAAGACTAATTTATACATTACAGTAACTTGTTGTAAGGAACATTGGACGGTACCGGATATCAGAGTTATTTACATTACCATGCTACATATATTATATTAAAAATCTACTCAGGGAACGGAAATTTGAATTCTTTGAAAGCCATTATTACATATTCCAACATTAACTTCTTGAATAATCTTATTTTTATCAATATCAAAATATGAGCAAACTTCGATAACGTAAATTACTATGTGAATTAAGGTATTTCCTTCCAATGAAGACTTTATAAAATGTAGTTTTAATTAAAATTATTTTTATAACAACTTAATAGAATAATACGAATTACATTAAATAATACATTTAAAATGTAAAACAAAATCTACTTCGATGATAACAAATTCGATTTGATTGCTTTAGTCAAAACAAATATTAATTAAAGTATTAATTATTTTTGCCTGTCCCTATAGTGTCCGTATAATTGAAGTACCCGCTAAGATACCATGGGGAGTGTTAACGGTGTGTGCCCCTCGGCTAGTACGTACAACTCCCACCCTGGTACTGTTTAGGCCAGCACTGTATATTGATATAAATCGATGTCTCCACTCAATATCTCATATTTGTCAAGCGCGTCGCGTGTTTATGGTATTGATATATTTTACACAAGGGGACTCCAGAACCCCACAGCTAGATACACAGACACAGGTTCAAAGATTACCTTACACAGACTCGTAGTGGCATGCTGGTCCTGTCTCACCGACATCGTACTATATGATGCTTGAATTATTATTAATACATTTTATCCTTTTGTGTGCTGTGATGTGGAGCTTGTGTTTTATTTATTTGGTAAACATGAAATAGATTATAGGAATATGGTGGAATTTACCATCAAATATGCTAAATACCCATTGTTTAAAATAATCTATATATTATATAAGCAGAGGCACGTTTCAAGTTATCCACGTATTATACTTCTGAATAAAACAGTCCTATATTACTTATACTACTTTATATTGAAACTTTGTATATGCTTTGTTCACCAGAAAACAAACAGACCCGTTCATTCTTCCTTTGCTTTGATCCCGTATTTGTTGGTCTAATTTCTAATTTCCCCTTTTCCTACACGTTATTTGAATGCCGGTGTGTTTTATGGCTCTAGTCCCTAGGAATCCTGTTGGAATCACTTATTACAATCAATCTTAGGACAGCATCAAGAAGCTTTATGGACAATTTCCTAATTTGAAATTTGCTGAAATAGATTAGGGTAATTGAGATACTGACGTGCGACAATTTTCTTCCCGTTACATCAATAAAATCTAGCGGTCCGCTGCGACAATTTGAAAATTTTCTAATTTGAATCGACTAAAGCTTCCTCCGTACAACGATTTCCTGAAGAGCTCCTGTGGTGTAAGCATTGAGATATAGAATGTCGTTCGCGGATCAGAGCTACTGTAGTTTGACACTTTAATTAGGAGAAATTGGCGGATGATGAAACTACTTTATCCTCCCGAGCCGTGCTCGGATATTTCATGTTTATGTCTCTTCTAAAGAAACATAAAAACGACTAGGCACAAAAGGACAAAACAGAGGTTTTCTTTACAGTGTAAGATACATTAAGAATTTTATTACCAAATGTTTTAAACGGCTTCTCTTTATGTGTATATTTTTTCAAAGCTCATACTGAAAGTTTAATGAAATTTCCTATTTCCAGAAATATGGTTAAAAAGAAGCTCTAATAAAACTTCTTAAACAACTAACATTTCCTCTTTTATTTTTGGTTAAAATTCATGATACCGACCTTTTTTATAAATTAGAATGAAAACACAAAATCTTAAAAATGAAGGCAATTTAATCGTCACGCTGCTGCCAGCCATGTGAATATTTCATGACGTTAACACATTTTAGGGGAGTAGAGCAGACTTAGATTCACAAGAAGAAATAGAAGTTTAGAAACGTGGTGTACTACGTTTGTGACCAGGAGGTGGACAAATCAAATCAACATATTATAGAATGATTTAAAGAAAAGTGAAAACATTTTAATTATTCAACCGGAAATATGATAAAATATTACTTTAGTAGAGTTAAAAGAAAACAATAAATACATAACTAACGTAAAAGAAAAAAATAGCATGAATTAAAGAAGGATTTGAAGTTTAACAACGATTTACCTTTATGAAATAAGACGAGAGTATCTATAAATACTTAGCACCTGTAAATAAACAATAACTGTAGCGGGTATCAACGAGGACACACGGTCGTCCTTACCACACCTAAGACCCAAAGTAGGGCCAGCTCAACACTTATCTTGTAGGCATCGCCGGAAGGTGGCACTCACATTAGCGGCGAGCAAATATGCCTGTCTCTTTATCGATACGTCGATTAGCTCACAGTCCAACAAAGATCAGGCACCTCAGCTCTCAAATGCTTCATTGATATCGACAATCAAAAACTTTCTGTGATGACGGCTAACATATTTCTGGAGAAAATAGTTTGACCCTAATGACTGTCTACTCAACAGAGCATGCGCTACGGTTGATGAATTAAAGGCCACGTGACGCGCGCGCGGCTAGGACAGGTGCTGTGGTATTGAGTGCTGTACTACACAGAAAGTAATTCCCTTTTCTTTAGTGCCGATAGGCAGTTTCTCGTACACAGTTCTCATTAGAAACTTTCTCTGCAAGTGGGTTATAATTTGCTGTTCCTAGGAATTGACTCAGGCCTTAGGCCGCTTGCATTCTCGTCATGTCCGCACTGTGCCAAACCATGATGAACACTAAACAGACGGTTGGATTACACCACTCCCTAAACCCGGGACACATTTCGGGGAGGTACTCCCCTCCTTACCGCTCCCCCGAGCGTGTGCGGTGTATGACAACCTCCACGGTACGTAGCTGTAATCTGTCAATGCGTGTGAGCCGACTTCGCTTTTTAATCACCTTTATTAGCTATTCTAAGCCAGCCCGCGCAATGTGTCTCATTATTTCCCATGTTTCATATTTTATGAAGTGAGTTTTATCTTCTCGCATTGAACATGCCGTGTGTATATTAGCAATGTGTTTTTTTACCTGAGCTGTCGGTACACAATAGCTCTCTGGTAAAAGTACACCGTACAAACACGACCATTATCGGGTATATTTTATTTATATACCCTACTCTACTAGTCTATTTACCATGTGTGTTTACTCTTATGTTTTTCAGGGAAATTTCTTTGGTGGAGTTGATGATGGGTTACTTGCACGAGCTGAAGTTTTGGCTGCTGTTGACATTTCTAAGCAATCTTCACAACAAATGATGAAACACGATGGACTATATGGCCATACAGCGGACCTTGGGGGTCACAATGCCACCCCTTCCCGCCAACAGCTACAGATGCACAGCCACCCTTCATTCGGCCCCACCGACGTTATGCTTGAACAGCTAACATCTAACCCCACGATGTCCCTGGGTGGGATGTCGGACCACCACATGAGCATTGCCAACTCCCCACCCATGAACCACCACAACATGTACGCGCCTGTGTATTCGCACCCTAATCCCATGGGCAATCACCATGGGTTTGGGGGGCACCACACAGTCCACCATACTATGCATGACACAGAGTGTGACCCTAGGGAGTTGGAAGCCTTTGCAGAAAGGTTCAAACAGAGAAGGATAAAACTAGGTGTAACACAAGCAGACGTAGGTAATGCACTTGCTAACCTCAAACTTCCGGGGGTCGGGTCCCTCAGTCAGAGCACGATATGCAGGTTTGAGTCGTTAACTCTCAGTCATAATAACATGATAGCACTTAAACCTATCTTACAAGCCTGGCTAGAGGAAGCTGAGAAACAAGCACGAGAAAAAAAGGAAGCTGAAGGTCAAGGACTTGCCTGCTCAGAAAAGAAAAGAAAGAGGACATCTATTGCTGCGCCCGAAAAGAGGTCACTGGAGGCTTATTTCGCAGTTCAACCCAGACCTTCTGGAGAAAAAATAGCTCAAATCGCAGAAAAATTGGACCTTAAGAAAAATGTAGTAAGAGTGTGGTTTTGCAATCAGCGACAAAAGCAAAAAAGGATGAAATTTTCAGCGATAGCTGGCCACTGAGTTTTATTGTGAACAAATGTTTGACGTTTTACACGCACATTCTGTTGGATATGTGAATAATTAATCTCATATCCAGGGAATACATGTCAGTGATACGTAACTGGATATGTGAGATAACGAACACGTGAAATTACCTCATTGTTTATGTGTCCAGTACAGGACGAGATTGAAGTCTTACAGTCGAGTTACCTAGGAGTCTGTAAGGTCAGGGCTGTGCTACGCTGACCCTTCGGTATTTCACCGTTTTCGTTTTTAATACCAATTTTTCTCACCACCGAACCTTTTGTACCTGAGGAAATGCTCTTAGAACTATGTACATGGATCATGACTTTTTATGAAGTTGATTTTATTTTTGTAAATAGAGAATAATTTATTTTAATTGTGAAACTTTTAATTGTTGTTTAAATTATTTTAAGTTATTTATAGCCCATTCCATATTTTGATTTTGAGCAGCAATTTTATTTTATTTATTAACATGTCGCAATACACAGAATATGTTTTAAACTAAAAACATTCCATGCAAGTAAAAATATATAACATAGCTCAGCGTATTAAATATTTGTGTAAGCTGTATTTACAGCTTGCTTTAGATGTTAAAACTAAACACTTGAAATGTGCATAAACACATCGTTATTTTCATTATGCCAAGATGATAACCCATCATTCTAGGATATCATTCATATTCAAATAATTTATTATATTTTAAATATTTGAACGTCCATCAACCCGTTTTTCTCAAAAGGTATTCGTATAAGCTAGTCATTCTGTTGTACAATACACGGATACAGATAATTTATTGACATATCATTTTGTCAAAGAAACTATTCTAAATAGTATTTTACATTGATTTAATTATTTGCATTTTATTTATTTATGAATGTAGTAGCGCCCCCTAATCTCTGAGTGTCTGACCACAGCTAGGTTGTATGTTTAATTTTTGTAGTTGTGGTACCACAGTACCGGAGTCTGTCCCTAATCTGTCTCACTGGATCACTGTATTGATATCTAGCACTTGTAATATGTGTATTGCTTTCTTACATTAAAAAAAAAAAAACCGGTACAGTTTGTACATTAAATTCAAATGGGCAAAAATCAAAATATTTTTTGTTGATTGATTTTTCTGTGTTTTTACAGATATGAGTTGCAATGTTAATAATGAATTTTCCTCAAAATATGCACAATTTTTTTATCCCATGGTTTTACTTGTATGTTTCGTAATGGATAGAGGTAAACCTAGTTTGACTTATAACTCTATTCCGAAATAGGTATTACCTTTTTGTTTACAAATGCTTATTTCTCTTGCTTCACTTAATGATGACAGAGAATGTTTTAAATAATATTTTATTTAGATTGATTCATTCAAATATAATTACTTAGATACATTTCTTTATTACCATATGACTTATGTACTTCATTGAAATTATTGTATCATTACTGTAATAGAGAAATTGTATCTTTGTAATCTCTTATGCGACATTTATATGTGTGCTCTGTCAGATGGTAGCAAATTTCCAAAGCCCCGCATTAATATCACCAAGTGGCTGTATTACTAGTATCAACTCTCTGTAATTGGTCCTTACAATATGTTATTGAATTGTTAGAATATTATTAGTTCTTTATTGGTTTCCAATGCCGTGCGGCCCCGTCAGATGTAATATTCCCCAGAACAGTTGATATTTTAGCTATCTGATATAGCACCTACTACAAGGATTATTGTGACATTTAATGCAAGTTCTTCGACAAAAACAGACGGTCGTTGAATCACCATTGGGGTACATTAAGGGAATGGACAAATTTGTAGATTTAAAACAAATCATGAATTTGCTACTTTAAACGTTTAATACATTTTATCTTAACATAATCATCTAGTCCCTGTTGAAGTTTGTTGAATACAAAAGCCTTCTATGATCTGATTAAGCTGTTTCTGTCGTGTGCTAGAAATACGATAATTCCAAATTAGAAACCCTCTGGGGAACCTCCGTGATAGTGGCTGTTGTATTGAGATAATGATCTAATGACGCGAGGCACTCGGAAGATGGAAATAATGTAATTGAGTACATAAACATAGGAGACTACTGTAAAGGCATCGGTTTGCAGTGCAGAGTCGACGCAGGGACAATTTACTGACCATTCAGAGAGAGGGGCAAGTGCTCCCTTCTGTGCCTGAAGCTATGTGTCCCCGCTGTCACCTGCTAACTGTCATAGCAAATAGTTCGCTGCTAGTGCTTCCCAGTAATTACAAATCGTCATCATACACAATTACTATTAAGAAATTGTCACAAAGGACTGCTTTTGTTAATACATTGATTGATTTTACCTGAAGAGCTGTATTTGCTCTCGGGGTACAAGGTGTTTCACCCAAGGGAAACGCCAGGTTCCCTTCATCAACATTGGTTGTAATAATTATAAGATGTACTACATCTCTATTGTCGTATTTTTATTATTACAAAATGCAATGTTTTATTGTTTTTATTTATACAAAATAATAAAATATGATAAAAGAGATCTTGAATGTTTTGCCTTTAAATTGAAAATATTGACAAAGAGCAAAGAAATGATTACAAGACACTATTTATCGATTGTCGGATGTGTTTGACCAACCGTGACCTACCCGAATTAAACTGGGCACCATTGTTACACTTGGTATGTAGACCTAGACAGACACGACTGACTGGGCACCATTGTTACACTCGGCATGTAGACATAGACCGACACGACTGACTGGGCATTAATGCACCGTGAAAATCATGTAAAACGAACTCCTATACCATTGATAAAATAACAATGATTTTTAATCTTCGTCCTATTTTTCTCTTTCTCAAAAGATAAATGTATATTTATTGTTAGAGTTTTATAAGATTTGTAACGAATAACAAAAAGTAAAACTTATTTCGTTGTTTGTGCCAAACGAAAAACATTCTTTAATCCTTTACAGAAATATGTTAAGGAATATCATATTTTTATTATTTTAAACTGAGTTAGACATATATTATTTATTAAGAAATTAGGAAGTGTTTGCATTCACTTGTATTATTTAAATCAACCAGGGTAGTAGTTTATACCGTAACGAGCGAGAATATGTGTGTTTATATAAATAATCAAGCTTTGATATTTTGGTTTCTGTATCAACATAAATGAAACGGTGATTTATCAAAATATTACTCATCGCAAATTGCAAGATTTTCATAATACCATATTCGTTTGACTTAATCGCAAATCAAAAATTACTACAATATGAATGCATATTTTCTTGAGTAAATGAATAAAAGAAATGGTATCTTTCGATGAAAGATTGGCATGCAATATTTAAAACGTCATCACCTTTGAGATCACACCATGTTAACATCTTTTTTCTTTAAATATTTCTATGCATCGTACCAATTTATTTGTTTTGTATATTTTTTCTGTAGAAACAAAGGCTTCAATCATATATATAACCGTACTTATATGTTATCACTGACATTGTGTAGTGCTTCACACTAGTGACGGTAAGGACATCAGAATTAATCGATAGTAAATTAAATATAGCCATCTCAAATAATCGATAAAACAATGAAATTAAAAGACAGATAATTAAACTTTTATTGTATTATACAAACCAATTGAACAATCATTAAATAGTGTGAATGAAAGAAGAAAAATTCTGATTTTTAAAAAGAAAAATGTATGATGATAAACGACGAAAATTACAGTATACATTTCAAAGATAGATGGTAGAAATAAGTATACATCGCTCATTAGGTCTTGCCAGCATCAATTGATTTTAAAATTGAACTTTGATGTAACATGAATATCAAAATCAACAAGGTTCAATAACTTTTAAAAAATAATACTCAATATCTTTACATTCATGATTTGTGCTACTTTTGAAAATGATAACAACAAAACAGTTTGTTTTTATATTTCATTGCTTGTTTTGGAATGACTAACATAACAATTACAGGCATGAATTTAGCATAGTTATAATCGGCGGATTATAAGACAACGATAAAATATGACAAATTGATAATGATAATCCTAAGTCTCGGATGTAAACACCGATCTAAATATATATCTTCTAAGGCAAATAAACACAATAGGGTACTGCCAAACATTTCGTATGATGTTTAGTATTACTCAAACGATGTTGATGAATGTCGTATATAAAATCAATCAAATATTTAAAAAAAAAAAAAAAAAAAAAAAAAACTTTTGTAGCTAAACACTTTGCATGGTAACATTGCTAACAAAATAGAGAACGAGGCAGTCAAAGAATAAAGATGAAAGAAAACCTTGGAGCACAGATGGCAGCACAGAAAACCAGGCGAAGGGCCATACAATTAAGCAACAGGAAAGGAAACAAGGATACAAAATCTGGAACTTCATAATGGCAACATGGTCATATGGCGACTGAAAACCTGACATACCAAAGGGAAGTATTCGAATCAAATTTTTAAGAAATTTTGTAGTACCACAACAAAGAAAATGGTAAGAAATACTTTCAATAGATAAGTAAGTGAATAAAACAATCGACTGAAATTTTAAACGAAATATCCGTTTTAACCTATCATTATAGTTGTTTTATGGAGCAAAGGTTAAGAAATACATTTGGAACAATTTAGTAATATATGCAAACTGCATTTGGTTTCAACACTTTTCTATCATAATCATTATAGTGTATATCATAATTACCTAAGTAGTTTCACATGAGATGGGGCCAACGTTAAATCTTCCATTTTATCTTGTTTTTTGGATTCCTGGGTTCAGGTTGTCTTTCCTTTCGTTTCGGTGTCTCTAAGAGTCGTGCTGCTGCCTTTTCCTGTCGATACATAGTGTTGTTGTTGTATGTTTATAGCATATTTCTAATGCATTCAACTCATAAATAAAAATAATATCCAGAAATCAATTTCAAAAACAAAAATATTATCGGAACAGCTTTAAACTGGAACTGCAAAATTAAACAAACATGAACAAATTCCATTAAACATCAAAATTTAATTATTACACAAGCATGATCTAAATGTCAACATACATACAAATCTAATGACTACACAAGCATGACACTCAAGGCAACACACACACCTGAAACCAATTCGGTTTGACTATTTCAAATAAGGCACAAATTTGATTAGGAAAACATTTTTGACAATCACTCTTATTCACAAAAATGCAATTCATGTCAATTTATTTTAAAGAAGATCACCATATTTTTAAATTTAAAATCAGAAGAACACTAAAACTGTACGAAATCAAAATATTATAATTATGTTTCTCAACTGAAGAAAAGTATATATGTAATATTCCTGAAAATATATTTTGCATCGTGTGTTATATAAATGGCTATTGATAATATTCAGACTAATGACATATATCACGACTTATATACATACTTCTCGTATTTGTGAAATCATTCTCCAA